GGGGGGGGAATGTAGTCCCACATGTATGCCCATGAGGATACAATACATTTTCTGTTCCTCATTTCCCTTCTTACACTATTGAATTTGATCCTACATGAGTTCTTTATAATTTCAAAAGATTTTTTTTTTCTGAGCTAATTTTATATGAGACTGCTTTCTCTACAGTATTGGAAGAGTCCGCTCAAAAGGATAAGCCTCATATGACTAAATTTAAAGCAAATAATACATCCACACTTCAAGGTCTTCCTTATTTTGTGTCAACTTTGAAGCCATATAGCATCAAATGGTCTACTCTGGTAAGTGGCAACAATTCTGGAAAGAGCTGGAGACTTCATTTCACTTATTAATTTACCTAGAGAGAGAAAATGAACGAAGGCTCCAAGCGTGATATTCCACTGCTGCACACAATGTTTTTCTGCAGAATCTTCCAATGGAGTTTGCAAGGTCGAATGGTTTGGCTAAAAAACACTGTGAGATGATCCTGAAAGATGAGAAACATAGGTCATGGCCAGTGGAACTAAAGCACAAGGATACACATGTTTACATAAATAATGGATGGCGCAGGTTCTGCAGTGCTAACGGCCTTAAAGAAGGTGATGCTTTCAAGTTCGAGGTCGTTGAGAATGGAAAGAAACCTATTGTCAACTTCCATTGTAAGTTTTTCCTTCTAATAGGAACATGGTCATGAAAAATATTAAAAACATGGTCTTAAAAAAGAGTAATGGTAACTGTAATAAAAACGGTAATTGTGTAATGAGCTCACAACATAATAGACGTTACATAATAAAAATTTAAACTGAAGACATCACCCCCCCCCTCTTTAAATACCTGCATATTTCAAGTTCATAGCATGCATATACACGTTCACACGGATTGATATTACATTAAATTTTAATTTTTGACAAGCTAAATGAGCTTAGCTTAGTTTTTTAAGTCCTTAATATCAAGAAACAATGACCATATCACTTAAGAAATATGTTTTTTTGTGAAGGATGATAAAGTTGTTTCATTGTGATTAGGAAATTATGGGTTTAAGAGATAGAAATAACTTTTCTGCTCATAAGATTGCGTATATCTAACCCTCTCCAAATCCTGTAATTGTAAGAGTCTCGTGTATTGGGTATGACATTTTTAGAGGATGGTTTTCTATTAAAAATGGGGGAAAAGAGATTTGGTTTGTTTTTTTTAGCAAAATAAATTGTTGCACCCGTTGTGTGGTCTTTACAACGGAGTAACAGCCGTGATTTTTAGCTGGCTAACTTTTTCATGAACAGCCTTGGTTGTGAATCGGAATTGTTTGTGTTGTTGCAGGTAAGTTCTCTGGCGCTATATGAGACGTGGGATGCAACTTCAATGAAGTGGGTACGGGAGAATTTGTGGGTACTCTACAATCATTAACGGTCATGCTTTTGTAGAAACTATCTATAAATATGGTTATGTAAATGGATGATGCAACTAAATTGGATTATGATCTTGATTAGATTGCCACATCCATTCATGGTTCAGTAATTCTGTTCAAATGATGTCAAGTAAAAGTAACCACGTTAAGAAACCCCATTGCCTCACCAATTTTTGCACCAAGCTCACATTGGTATCCTTGGACCTAGAATAGTTGTTGATGGCGCATACCAACGTGGAAGAGCTTAAGGTGAAAGTAATGTGGGATGAGTGTGAATCAGAGCTACGAGACTCATGTATGATGCTAACTGATAAAATATTCAGGGGATTGAAGGGGTGCACACAGTAAAAATATAGTGGTTCATCGGCTTAAGAGCTCGGCTAGTCCACTCTTCAATGGAGGTTCTTGCTCCTTCTGTTTTATTCACGATGATTACAAAGTTGCTATGGCTTCCTCTTGCCACTAGGGTCCTTTCCCCTGTTAGGAGGTGTTCCAGTGCATTTATAAGGTCATTCCCTGCTAAGTGGGATCCTGACCGAGATTTATGCCCTTACTTCGTGGGATTCTCCCTAATTCTAGGAGAAAATCTTGGTTAGTTGAGATTACGTGCCTTGATTATAACTTCCTAACACTTTTAGGAACCTCCCGTGATCTTCCAGTTGTTGCCTTGGTTGTTATTGCCCTTGTTTCTCTCGAAGGGACCTCCAACTCTACTCTTCCGAGTTTTGTTCGTCTAGTCTGACCTCCTGGACTGAGCTGACCTCCTGAGCTAGCATTTGAGATTTATTTTGAGGTATCATCAGTTGCCCCCTCAGCCCTTGGCCCAAGCGAGCATGGGCATAGGCTGAGCTGTTTTTACCTTGGACCAGACCTGCACATAGCTGACCTTAGCCTGCAAGTGAGATGCATGTGGGAGGGGCTTTTTGACAGTGGCAGCAATCATGGCTCCCTTGGTTCCCTCGCACGTCTCATCTCATGTCTTTCAAGCCTTAAATGCTCAAAACGGCTAAATGAAAACGTACAAAATCNGTTCCCTTGGTTCCCTCGCACGCCTCATCTCATGTCTTTCAAGCCTTAAATGCTCAAAACGGCTAAATGAAAACGTACAAAACCATCGTTCATCTTCTACGTTGTTCACCTTCGTCTCTAGCTCTTTCTCTCTGTGATTTCTGGGTTTTCCTCGCGATTCCCTTATTCTCTGCTCTAGACTGTGCTTTCTGGGTTTGACTCGAAGTCCTGCTTTGTTCCTATCCTCCACTTTTGTTCTTTGGCTGTTGTTTGTTACTCTCCTCCCTGTCTAGGTACACTTCCTTCTGCCCCTTTCTCTTTCTCTTGCCTTTCCTCACTCTGGATCCCTCGACTTCGAGGTGGCAATTGTTTTTCTGGGTTTTTCGATTCTTTTTCTTTTGAAATCACGATCGTTGCCTATCTCATCTTCCCCGCTTTGTGGATTGGAACTCCATTGTGCGAATTCTTACTGTTGGGAGGTACATTGCTGACCCTAGGATTATCGGGGGGTGTTTAGTTAGTATCCCTCCTTTTTATCATTCTTTCGACTTGCCTTTTTCTTTGCCAATCATGTCGCCCTTCTCTAGAGCAACTCTTTCCTCTGTTTCCCTCTTAGGCATTAGATCTGTTGAAAGAGATTTTGATTTAGGGGATGTAGGTGACGAGATTGACAACTTTTCTGGTGTAGATTCTGCCGAGGCAGAAGTGAAAACCTAGGAGGCCCCCTCCCCCTCTTCTCTCATGCCTGATAGACCTGATAAGGGCAATAACAAAGTAAGTGGTGTGGGAGTCATCATTTTAGGCGTAGGGACTGTCTTTAGGAACACTGAACTTGTAGGTTCCAACAGATTTACCCCTTCTGACCTGAGATTTCTCAGTGCTCGCTTTCATTTTCCCCCAGGGGTTCAGCCCCGGAGTCCTAATAAGTACACCACATATGTTCACCATATCCATAAGAAGGTCTATTTCTTCCTGATAGCTTTTGATAATGGACTTCATTTCTCCATTCATCCCTTTATCAAAGGTGTCATTCAACACTTCATGTCTATCCTGTCCAGCTCTCTCTTAACTTCTGGGGTGTTCTTGTGGGTTTACTAGTCTTTTTTAAGGACCATAAGCTTGGGGTCCCTACTGTTTCCTTACTTATGGAGCTGTTTAATGTTAAGCAGACTTTCTCTGATGGTTTTCTTTATATCTCCAAGAGGACTAAGGCCCAACAGATCATCTCTGATCTCCCAAGCTCCCATAAGGGTTGGAAGAAACAATTTTTCTTTGTAGGCGGTACACAGTGAGAATTCAACTCAGAGGATAAAACTGATACCCTCCCCATCCCTACAGAGTGGTATGTCCCCGATAATTTGGGTATATTTCTGCCCAAACCGTATTTACTCCAAGTCTGGCTGCTTTGTTAACTTATTTCTTGTTTTCCTTGGTTTTCTAGGTATTTGACCTGAGCTCAGCGCTGAAGAGGAGCGAGAATTGCGGAAATTGGAAAAGTGCAAACTAGAGAAATATTCTGAGCTCATCTATCCTTGGACTCTCGTAGAACACGGGTTCTGCCTTCCTGAGGTAAGGGTTGAAGCTCCCCTTCGACTTTTCGTTGCTAGCCCTATCCCGCTTTCCGCCGAAGATATATCAGGTAACACTTTTTCTTTGTACCCTCTCTTATCTTTTCTTTGTCTAAGGATGAGGCTTACCTATTCTTAGGTCCCGCAGGTTCATCCTCAATGGAGCCCACTACTGCTGAACTCAGGGCTAAACTTTTCCAAATGAAGAATATCAAGGGCACCAATAAGAGCAGCAGCAAGAGCAGCGCCAAACGCAAGTCAGGACCCAACTCTGTCGATGGCTCCACTTCTCCTGCCAAGGTGCCAAGGATAGGCATGTCACTCACTCCCTTTGCTCCAGCTATCCTAGACTTCTCTTCCCAAAGCGCCTTTCTTGCTACTCCAAGCACTGCTGCGTCAGGATAGGCATCCCCCTCTACTTCTGAGGTCGAGAGAGCTGTGGAGATGACCTCCTGGATCTTGACCTCTCTTAATCCGCCTGCTGCACCAATCAATCATTCCCTTTCTGTGGGTTCCAAGGCTGTGAAGGAGGAGCTCCTTAAAGCAGGCGAAAGTGAGGGCTCCTTTCTTGACAACCCCGACCTTGCTGCAGGGGCCCTCTCCTCTATTCTTCCCAATGTTGATATAAAAATGGCCTTTTCACTATCTCTTGAAGATTCAATAAGCTCTGTTCTTCACGGATTAACTGCGGTAAGCTCTTACTCACATTTATGACCTCTTTTTTTTTTTTTTTTTTGAACTTTCCTAATTTTTGTCTGTTTTTCTCTTACCCCAAGTCTGCTATCCATGCCAAGAATTTGATGAACAGGGTCTTGTCTGTAGAGAATTCTGCCAAAATGGTGAGGGCTTATGAAGTTAAGGTTGTCGNTGTTTAATTTACAGCTTATGGCTCTTCTTTTCTTTTGCTTTCCAACTTGTTGCTTTATTCTATCATTTATCAAATATGATATTCCTCAACTCTTCCCCCCTTACTTCAAAGGATCGTTCAGAACTCTTTGAAGAAAAGAAGTTAGGAATAACTGCTGATGTGCCGAGCTGTGCTTCCAGCTTNGCATCCCCCTCTACTTCTGAGGTCGAGAGAGCTGTGGAGATGACCTCCTGGATCTTGACCTCTCTTAATCCGCCTGCTGCACCAATCAATCATTCCCTTTCTGTGGGTTCCAAGGCTGTGAAGGAGGAGCTCCTTAAAGCAGGCGAAAGTGAGGGCTCCTTTCTTGACAACCCCGACCTTGCTGCAGGGGCCCTCTCCTCTATTCTTCCCAATGTTGATATAAAAATGGCCTTTTCACTATCTCTTGAAGATTCAATAAGCTCTGTTCTTCACGGATTAACTGCGGTAAGCTCTTACTCACATTTATGACCTCTTTTTTTTTTTTTTTTTTGAACTTTCCTAATTTTTGTCTGTTTTTCTCTTACCCCAAGTCTGCTATCCATGCCAAGAATTTGATGAACAGGGTCTTGTCTGTAGAGAATTCTGCCAAAATGGTGAGGGCTTATGAAGTTAAGGTTGTCGAGTTGGCTTTTGAAAATGATGACCTGCGAGCTCAGCTACAAGAGCTATAAGACAAAGTGGGGATGCAGGCTTCCACCATTAAGGGCTTAGAAGTTGCAAAGGTCAAAGCTAAGGAAGGGGAGAGAAAGGCTAGGGAAGCCTGGGCCAAGGCTAAGGAAGCCTGGGCCAAGGCTAGCTAGGAGGCTTCTACTGCTCAGAGC